ACCCCCCCCCCCCCACTATATATATAGTTTTTTTTAAGGTGTGGGTTCTTGGAACAGTTTTTTCTATGTCTTTTGAATTGAGCAGCAGATTCTTAAAAATGAGCAAAAATTGGAGTTTTCATTTTGTTCTATGGTTTTTCTTTTAAAGAATGAAAATTTGTAGATTTTTGCACTTAATTCAAATGAGTGAAGCTATAATGTATTGTGGTTTTCGGTAGTGATGGGAAAGAATGTAAACTTTCATGTATAAAATGATCATTTTTAGTTCATTTGTGGAGTTTGAATGCAGTGCTTAGGAACTTTTTGAGGTGTTGATTAATTTGTATCTTGTGTTATTTTTTATCTGTTTGAATAGCATAGTTGTAACTGAGTGAACATTGTGAAAGAGAATAGGTTAGATTAGTCCGAGATTTATTTAAAGAGAGTTGTATAAGTGCCTGACTTTTACCTCTCTCCAAAGTCCAAAGGGATAGTTTTCTCTCGAGTGATTGAAACATAGGAGTAACTTTGGTGGGCAGGTTTAGAGGTACCTTTGCTTGTAGGCTGTAGCAGGCCATCGGTTGAATTAATCGATGTCTGTGCAAGTTGGTTCTCACACCACTATTACACTTAAGTTTTGCCTTAATTTTACTAATCTTTCCTGAGCCGAGGGTCTTAGGCCTCCCTACCTCTTAAAGTAGGGGTAAGGTCTGCGTACACTCTACCCTCCCCAGACCCTACTTGTGAGATTACACTGAGTTTGTTGTTGTTGTTGAGAATCACATATGGACTCCCTTTTACCGACCAAGAAACATAGGGACTCCCTTTGTCGTCATAAGACCCTCATTATGTTGGATAACAATGAATATGCTCATTTAAGTAGACTCATAAAATGTTTGTATATACTTTATGCTATGGCTTAGTAGACTAGGTAATATATGTTTGAGAGAGAGCAGTTACAGATATAGAGGATGGACCATGAGGTGCGTTTCAACTAAAAATGCTACTAATCAATAATGGGAAGAAAAATGATATTTGCTTCTTTTACTTATCAAAATGGAAAGAAGAAAGGTTTTTGTTTGTGAAAAGTACTAAAAGTAGTCATCAATAATACCTCTTAGACCCGAGTTTAGATTCTGACATCCCAAACATAGACACGAATCTTCCAATTCCCATAGTTTCTAATCACTACATGAAAGTTTAGTTTGTGATTTGAAGCCTCCATAAAGCACGCGAAAGTGACCACCCAACCGACTCAACAAAATCAATTGAAGATGAAAAAAGGGTCTTGGTCCATCCAACCAGTAACTATTTTAGAGTGTTAAACAAAATTTAGTAGCATTTGCTATAAAACTAAATCATACTACCTATCTTTCTCTGATCTCAGAGGCACACCACACAAATTCTTGATTTGGGATCACCTCCACGTCTACCACTGACATATGGAGACAACGAGCGAAAATGAACCAGAAGTGGACATCAAGGCATCGGAAATAGAATATGTTAGCTATGGGGGTGAACATCATCTACCTCTTATCATGAACCTTGTTGATGAAGAGCTTAGCGAGCCTTACTCGATCTTCACTTACCGCTACTTTGTATATCTTTGGCCGCAACTGTCTTTTATGGTACTCCTCCCACTCCTTTGTCATCTTAGTTATGTTATATTCCACTAGGAGCATAACTCTTTCTTTGTTATTGAGATATTTGCAGGCTTTCCATAAGGGGAAATGCATAGGGACGGTGGTCTGCAAGATGGGAGAGCATCGCGGTACTTTCAGAGGTTACATTGCAATGCTTGTGGTTCTTAAGCCTTACAGAGGCAAAGGAATCGGTCAGTTTTTTATCACTTTTTTGTTAGATAAATTGATAATGGCCTTTCATTCATATTGCTGCAGTCTCTTAGAACTACGGATGATGTCTTTAATATGACACACGTCCGAATCAAGTACCTGATTAAGCCTGTTGTGTTTCTTTGAGGGATTTCTTAATTTCGGGTCAATGTGACGAAGCAGATTGTATTTGTTTGATTGGGTCAACATTTAATCAGATAAAATCTTGGTTAAGCATCCTGCATTGCTGAATAAGTCTGAGATTTCTTTCATGGTACAAAATTAAAAATACAAGGGTGGATGTCTAAGCTTCTTTTGGGTTTCTTTCAGCATTAGAAAATGAGCTGGATATTTTCTCAAATATATTTCTTGTCGGCTTTGGAATTAGAAAATAAGGTTTTAAAGGTGTTCTGAGGGTGCAAACTTTCTCACTCCTAATCTCCAGCAACTATATAGCAGAGGCTACTCAAGTCCAGTTGAGTAGCTCTTATTTTTCTTTGCGAAAGGTATTCTTTCTCAATATAAGATAACTTTTCCAATCCTGTTATCACAAGACAATTATATTTCTTTTCCTCCGTTTTTTGTTTCCCCTTTCCATCAAAATCTGCCCGCCCACGCCCAAACTCAAGAAGCCTCCCTATTTCCATTACTGATCTCCTCTGCTTGAGGTACCCTCTTTCTGTTACCCTTTCGACAGAAGTCTCATTCAACAGCCAAAAACAAATTGAACCCATGTGGAAAAGCATTATTATTATTGTGAAACTGGTTGCGGCTGTGAGGTTTCAAAGGTCGAGACTGAGTCTTGGTTGATTAGTTTGCCTTTTCTTAATCCAATGTGGCTTTTGAATCTGAAAAAGATTTGGGGGGGGGGGGGGGATGCCCTCGAGGGTGATAGCGGTGGTAAAAACCATTGTGGACCTGATTGTGGCTTTTACTGTGTATGAAATCTCCTAAGTATGCTCCATTGACATTGTAACTTTAGATATGCCTACTTACTTTTGATATACATCTGATAGCTACTGAGCCGTAATATTTCATGTTCCAGCTACAGAACTTGTCACAAGATCTATCAAAGTGATGATGGAATCTGGATGTGAAGAGGTATGTTACAACGTGCTGAAAATATTCATATTAGTGACTTTATGAATTATGTTGTGGGAAGCATAAGTAATTGCAACCATGGTACCAGAGATGATAACTATCCATTTTTTATTGTACAAGCTTGGGTAGGCCATACAAGCTTGAGTAGGGCATTCTTTGTGACTTAGTGGACATGATTATGGTGTGTACAATTGCTTGGTATTCTCCGAGTTGCAGTTCGACCAAGACTATGCGTTCAGTGTATTAGTGCCGTTAGACCTAAATCTGACCTTTTAAGCTTTTTCGTTTTTTCCTATGTTTTTTCGAAAAGGAATGAAATGATAAAGCACCGTAGCATCATATGAGTTATCATCTAGCGACGGTTTTCTTCCACTTAATTTGTTCGTATGTTTTGTAGGTGACTTTGGAAGCAGAAGTTACAAATAAAGGAGCACTCGCTTTGTATGGTCGTCTTGGATTCATTAGAGCAAAGAGACTCTTCCGTTATTATTTGAACGGTGTAGATGCTTTCCGGCTGAAGCTATTGTTTCCGCGCTCAGAACCACAACCCTATGGTTCCATGGCCGCTATAGGCGATGAGAACCATGAGTATAATGAACACACACATTGTGGAGAGAATTCCCATTGCCAACACAGCATGTAAACTGAATCTTCTGATTAAATAGGTAAACTGTGCTATGTTGTTGCCAAATGTCAAAGAGACCACATTAGACAGCCTTTTACCCTGTTATAATGCCCAATTTTGATACAAAATTTATTTGTAGAAATTAAGGTGTAGCCTGCTGGAAGGTTTAGTCATCAATCACTTGATTTTAAGTGATGCATCTATACTCCACAATGCTTAATGAGATGCTTGCAGCAGGAAATTTTAGACAACACATTGTATTCATGAGACATGATTACATTCAAGCTGGACTCCTAGTCGGGAGAAAGCTACCCTTACCCGACATTTGTATGAAATCAATAAATGCATGACATGTGTTTTCTTCCTCCTAGTCCGAAAGGGAGAAGACCGTATTGCTTTGAAGTTGTTTGGTTGTGCTTTCAGTTTTTTCAACAGATGTTATCAGAGCCATGCCTCAACTAGACGGTTCTCATTGTTTCTATTTTCTTTTCTTTGGGAGTGGGGTGGGGGGGT